GTGTCTTGCACAGTGGGGGCCCTGTTCTTAGTTGGTTGTTAAGTGCTAAAGAAGACAAAAAATAATTTACTGTGTAGGATCATACCCATCTAGCTTGGAGTGCTGTAATTTTCAAATACCACCAGATGTAGGATAATCTGCCCTCTCTCCTCCCCCCGATGTCTCATCCTGATCTCTAATTGAGATCAGCTCTGAAGCAGGAGATGTAATATCCCAATGACAGCCAAAATGTTGGCCGGGATAATACTGGACATCCTTGTTATCATACATGCCTCTGTCGCCAGAGGCATGTAGATTAGGCTACCAGACATAGTAAAATGAAGCGGCGATTATTTAAATCGCCGCTTCATTTTACTATGTCTGGTAGCCTAATCTACATGCCTCTGGCGACAGAGGCATGTAGTCTAGACGTACCCTAAATGTCTAGTTCATCTTAGGACTTGGAAATCAACTTCATAGCCCCTGTTGTAATAGGAGTATCACTGAAGTGAAGAGCATTTGGAAAGGGGGGTGACAAATCCTAGCTCAGATATGACAAATTCTGGAACTGTTTTACAATACCGGGACCGATACTATTCTGAAATTCTGTGGTCAGTGCTATGCTAGAGGTCAGACTAACTGATCATAACATGATCCCTTCAGACCTTAACATCTGAACTACTCCAGTGCCCAGAAAAATATTAGCTACTTCACAAAGCATGTACATACCTCATTTGTGCCTTGAATGTAGGGCTTGCTTACAAGGGGAGTTACTTCAGAAAAGTTATTCCCGATTAACTCCCTGTGTGGACAGTCTTATTCCAGAGTGAGGGCTTGTTTTTTTGCATACAGTGGCCCAGCTATAGTGCTTCAGTGAAGCTTCTCTTCTGCAGTTAGGAGAGCTGCGTCTGTCCAACCCAATTAATCCACCTCCCCCAGAGGCAGAAGCTATGACATAGTGATGTTTACATAAGAGTTTAGGTCGGTATAACTGGATTTTTTTCACACCCTTGAGCGACATAGTTATAACTATATAGGTCTGTAGTGTAGACCTGGCCTAAGAGTGCCTTATCCCAATTAATTCAATCCACCCTGGAAATGGATTAAATTAATTCAGAATAAGACCATACAGGAAATTCATTGGGAATAGTTCCATTTTAAACTCACACCCTATCTTAATCCACATTCACTTCCCCATGTAGATGTGCCCTTAGTCTAGACTCAACGTGACCCACCGAGAGAAGGTTGTAAACGAAAGAGGGGACGCAGAGGCTGCGAGTGACAACGTTTTAACAAGATTGTAAGTTACTCATTAAGGCATCAACACACCTTGAATCTATTCTCATCCTTCCTTCCCCCTTGCATGTCCCAGCAGTCTTTGGCAGCAGCTTAACCAAATGGGTTTAAAATCCCACCTCTTCAACTGGTGTAACCGCTTATAGGCAAACCAGAGGGTGCTTGACCTCCTGGGGGTAATTCGATATTTGCAAAGCACTCGCTGACTTTCTAACCTCTCCCTTTCTGCTGTGACAGCTGTATGAGAATCGCAGATTTTTACTTCAGTGCTACTTTTTTTGGCCAGGGAGGGGGGAGGAAGCAATCTCCTTTCCTCTTGATTTTGAAGAGGCTGGAGGCTTCCAGACCTCTGCAGCGAATCCATGTGCTTTTTAGCTGGTCAGGGCAGAGCCCAAAGCTGGAGGCTGAGGGGCGGGACTGCTCCCCGTTTTGTTTGAAGGAATCGGGCGAGGAACCCTTTGATCCGCAGGAAGCTCTGTCCTGCAGTCGGGAGGCTCGTGATGAAGGCAGGCAGCCGACATGTTTTTTTCAAACCCATTTGTTCGCCTTGTTGTCATGGGAACAGTTGCTAGCATGTTGAAGGGAATAGACAAGTGCAGAGGAGACTGCAGGGAGGGGAAGGGTGGGTGTTGGGCTCAGGATCCCAGCTCTGCTCCAGAAGAAATGAATCTTAAAGGGTAGACTCTCTCCTTGGCTTGTTCTGACACAGAAGTTTGAATGGTACTGCATGTAGGATGCAGGCGACCTCAGCGTCTAACTGGCCTTTAAGTCCTTCTCCTGCCTTCGGACTACACCTCTGAAGACCGAGGTTTGTGTGTCTGAGTGTCCTCTGTGTAAGACTATCTACCGTCTAGTTGGGAGCTCCGAGGAGGCAGACAACTGAAGGGCGCAGATCCAAATCATCTGTGTCTTGGTGACCTGAGCCTCTAAAACACCAGGTACAAGAGAGATGGTGGCTTTCCCGCTGTTTCTTGCTTTAGGAGAGAGCTATCCGCTTCGATTCAGTCTCTTCTCCCTACTGAGTTTCGGACGTGTCCGGTTTGCTACCGAGGCTAAGAGTGTGGCCTTTTCAGGCTTTGCATAGACTTGGTCCTGTGCTCTCTCGTTAGGGTATGCTAGTGTGAAGATGGCGGGGAGGAGGGAGAATGCATTAACCTCTTCTTTTTGGTGGGGAGGTGGGAGCAGAAATACAACCTGCCTTAGGCTCAGCAGCCGTCAATTCCTAGGATTTGGCTAGAGCAGCTGATCTGGTTGGAATTAGTTTAGGCAGCCCTCTAATTGCAGGCATGGCGAGTTAGTGGCTTGTTCTTAGAACAGTCCCAGCTCTGCTTTTAATGTGGAAATCGGCAAGGAAGACAGCGGAGGAACAATGTAGCTGATAGCCGATGGTTCCACTTTTTTTCTACGTTCAGCTCAGGCTTAGTTTTGGCAGAGAGACTCTCACTAAACACCTGTGACCTGTTACGCTTACTGTCCCAGGAGAGCACTGAATCCGAAAATGAGAGAGGAATAAAATGCAGCCATGATTCTATGTACAGAGGCCGCTGGCCTCTTGTGATGCTACGTCTAAACTAAAGTCTTAGCTCTCTCTTGCCAACAAGTACAACTTACCTTACAGGGTGATTTTTAAACCTGTTACGTTCAGCTGGCACAAATGACTGTGGACCCCTGTCCTTTGATTTCAGCTAAGCTTGTTTTCATTTAGCTGATCTAAGCTTACATAGCGCAGTGACTCTCTTCTGGTGTAAGTGCAAGAAGAGTCACTCGCACTGCAGTTAGTAATTGCGTATCTCGTGATGTGTGCTGGGAATTGTTTTGTTCTTGGGTATGGTAGAATCTGGGGGGCGGGGAGACGTTGAAACGCCAGCCTTATAAACAACCAGTTGAATGTACCATTTTTCCCAATGGAGGAGGGAGGGGTCACATACCGAGAGATGTCAGTGAACAAGTCAACATCCCTTCATATCCCAGTGCCTGAACTGCATCAAAAAGTGCTTTGCGAAGGTTTGAAGGACGAGAAGAAAGCAATCAGTGCACTAGACGGCAACTTCTACCTTAAGCCCACTGTAATTTTGAGATGCCCAATTCCATGCACTGCTCAGTCCCCAGTTGTGTAAAACAGGGGCTTTGCTGTATTGGTAGATGCTACAGGCCACTGACACTTTACCTAGGAGCTTGATATTCAGTGAAACATGTTAGAACTTTCCAGCATCTTTGCCATAGGCCTTTCTTCTGCTGTGGGACTTGTGTAGAGCTCCACCACCGTTAACTTGACCCTTACAATCTCCCCTTAGGCCCTGTTTAGGAGTGAGATTCTCCCCTCGCTGCAGAACAGAATAGATGAAGGTGGTTACATAAGAGTAAAAAGAATACCTGGCCAGGGTTTGCGGATCCTGTCCCCTGCGGAACTCCTTCAAAGTCTTTGTAGCTTCTATTCCTCCATGTGTGGTAAACGTTCGCAGTCTAACATTTGTAGCTATTCTGTACGTGCTAGGTCCTTTCAATAACAGTCAACGCAGAAACCAAGTAATCCTAGAGCGGATACGAACGACCAGACTGGGTCAGACCAACGGTCCGTCCTGTCTGCCAACAGTGGCCAATGGCAGGGGCCTCGGAGGGAGTGAACAGAACAGGGAATCACTAACACATCAGGTGGGTTAGTGCTACAACATGTGGAAATCTCCATAGAAATCTCTTCTAAAGCATACTTGAAATGGTTCTTACATGCTCATTTGGCCTCTGGTTTTGTGCCATCCCTCCGTTGCTCAGGTCCAGCGGATTCAGAGTAAGAAACCTGTTGGATTTATGCTCCCTGTCCAGCTTCCTTGGGGGTTGTGGGCATGCATCTTTCCTCTCCATGTGTTCATCGGCTGCCCGCAAGGCAGGAACAGTCAGCGGAGACTATCGGATCACATGTCTGAGGAATGGGAAATCCAGCTGGTATCTTAAAGCATCAATAACTTAAAATCTGTGCAGGATTTCTGTCTTGGCAAGTGTATAGCAAGCATTCAGCCCTCCCGTGGTTCTGCCATGACACCTTGGTATGAGCTTCAGTCTAGTTCTCCCTCTCCGGCCAAGAACAGGTGGGACGTGGATGATCCAAATGGTCTCTAGTAGAAGATCCTGTGGGCAGCAGCGGTTACTGGAGTCCCAGCACCAAGTTCTCGTTAGCATTTTCTACTGCCTCTTGTGTTGGCTTATCGTTTACCGCACACTCTGCATTCTAACACGAGGGGTTTGCCGCTCTGCCGCTTTTCAAATGCAAGATGTTACCAGTGCTGGTAGCACCAGTATAAAGGGGATCTCAGAGAGCCAGCTGCTAGGAACTTGGCCTGTTACCTCCTTTCCCAGAAAGCATTGGGCACCCCTGCGGCAGTGCATGCTGTGGAGCGACGGGGTCTGCTATGCTAACACTGTGGTGTAAGATGGGGGCTATGGCAGTGAAGGCGCTAGAGACGCTCCGCACTGGTGGATTGCTGACGGTCTCTCTCCCGCACTTCCTGTTTCTCTCCAGGTACCCGCTGAGCTTCTGCCCTAGCCCTGGGGCTGGTGGTGGTGTTCCTGGGGCTGCCCCCCTCTCCTGGTTGATGCTCTTCGGCTCTCCAGGCCAGCCAGAGCCAAATGGATGCAATTGCCAGCGGCAGCCTCAAGAGAAAGTTTGACGATGTGGACGTGGGCTCGCCCGTCTCCAATTCAGACGATGAGATCTCCAACAGCGACGCTGAGCTTCTGCCCTAGCCCTGGGGCTGGTGGTGGTGTTCCTGGGGCTGCCCCCCTCTCCTGGTTGATGCTCTTCGGCTCTCCAGGCCAGCCAGAGCCAAATGGATGCAATTGCCAGCGGCAGCCTCAAGAGAAAGTTTGACGATGTGGACGTGGGCTCGCCCGTCTCCAATTCAGACGATGAGATCTCCAACAGCGACAGCGCCGACAGCTGCGACAGCCTCAACCCCCCGAGCACCATGGGCTTCATACGTGAGGG